AACCTAAGAAGTTTGGGAACCACTGTTTTAGAGAAATGTTTCTCTTTATTTATTTATTATAGGTTTTATTCTTTCTCTGCAAATAGAGAAGAATGTGCCCAAAATCCTGTGCTCTAAATTTGTTCTCAGGGAGCAAATAACAGATTTTCACAGGGTCCCCTAGTGTAGTAACTTTTTCCTAGATGGCTATTTTTAACCATTCTAACTCTCTGAAGGCTTGAGGACATGGGATTGTTGGCAGAGCACCTCGGCTCTTCTGGATCTATTCCAGACAGTACAGTGGAATTATTAACACAGTCGTGTGGGTTTGTATAACAGTGGGAGGTCACAGAGTAGTCAAGGCGTGAACCAGTGCACATATCTTTCTATGCACATTTATTATATAGCAGTCTCAATTCCAAATCTTTGGGTTGAGAAGCATTGTGAAGGATTCGTCCTGTCTGTGGAAATTCATGTTAAACAAGTCACAGAGAGCATTGATATGCCTTTAATAATTATCTGTCTCAAAAAGAACATTCTTACAATCTTAAAAGGACAATAGAGGCACCCAGACCGCTACATCTTATTGCAATGGTATAGGTGTAGTCACCCTATTCCTTTAAACCCTGCAATGAAAAACCTTGCAGTTTTATAGAAACTGCAGTGTTTAAATTGCTAATACTGCCTCTAGTAGCAGTCCCTAGAGGCACTTCCTGCATTTTCACGGAGCGTGACTCCTTCAATTGGTGCTGGGTATCCTCATCCTTTGAATAACCCCATAGGAAAGCATGCACAGTAGGTTCCCCCATCATCTAATATCATAGGAGGAAATGCCTGACCCAGCACCAATGTTTTTCTAACCATTTACATCACCTGGGAACGGATAGGGGAGTAGTATTAGGAGTACAGCTTTGTATTCTATGATTTTCCTTTAATTCCACACCAGCAAGAAGGATTTCAGTGGGAGAAGCTACAAATAAAGTATAAAGAAGTAACAAGTCCTCCAAGCATGACTGCTAGGCTTTGCCAGGTTCCCAGTACCGATATATATGTGATCATCAGGGACAGCATGCATGGGCTGCAGCATGAAAGGGAAATCTCCCTTTCATGCTGCAATAACCCAGGAGAGAGCATTTACAGAGCAACTGTATGAGTTTGGAAATCCCTCTGCTGAGGTCAGTACTGGTGTCAATAGAGGGAATCCCTCTAAGTTAGGATTGCCATTAGGGTGAGAGTGTTTGGTTAGTGTAAGGATTAATGTTGAGTTGGGTTAATGATGTTATAGACTTTTGGTCGTTAACACTAACCTTACACAAACCCTAACCCTACACCAACATACGCCTAAGCCTATGCTTATACTAACTCTAATCATACACCTACACTAAACGTACCCACAACAATAACCCAATGCTATCCTTAACCCTATAACAACTGAAAGAACAAAACAGATAAAAATAAACCTCATTCAGGGGCGTAAAAATCTTACCACGGTGATTCACAAAAATACGTAATATAAAGAAAAATGGTAGCGTAAAAATAACGTTTATAGATAAAATATATATATATATTATATATATATATATATATATTTATATATAATATATATATATATATATATATTATATAAAATAAGTATGCATATAAATAAAAAGAATTTGTAAAACACAAATTATACAGCCCAAAAAATGAATTATTAGAATAGAAATGTACTCCTGATTGCAGCAGATCAGTAATTGTAGAAACTGAACTGGAGAATCTGGAATGAGAGGAGCCAATCCTAATGCCAAACTCTACCACAAATGATAAAAATATAAAATTGAGGGTCGGAGAACAATAAACAGCTCAGTCCTCACAAGTGATTCCAGATTCTCAGTAGAAAAAAGGAGATCCAGTAAATAGAAATATAAAGTGCTCTGAAATATAAAAGCAGTACGTGTAATATAACCTAATATGAAGGCAGCACAAATACAATGCCAGGAAGGTGCTGTCCTCGGCGTATATATAAGCAGAGTCGCCGTCTATGCAATTACCCTGTAAAGGTGAGTATTGTTGGTATAGGCATCATGTCTTGTCTTGATAAAGTCGTAAAACGTGACGTTTAGATGGTGGTGGGTGTCACGTTTGACGTTTGAACCTTTGGAGGCACTTCGTTCCTAGTATGGTCACACTATTTGTTATGTTTTGGGATATTAATAGCTCTAAGGGTGAATAAAATACATGAATTTTATATGTCCGGCTATTCCTGTTCCTGTTTACTTTGTATTATTACCAGGGACTAACCTCGCCCTTTGGAACGCCTGAACAGTGAGTACTTGAATGATCCACTTGTTTCGGTCAGGACAACCAAACAGTGATTTCATTGGCATGCTGAATTTTTGTTTAACTAGGATTTAAGGTGTTTTTTTTGTTTTTTGTTTTTTTGTTTCATTTTTTAAATTTTTTTTTCCTTTTCATTGTCAGCACGGCAAGCAAACCATTCAAAGTGTTTTCTGGCCATATGCACAGCAGCAGAACAATGGGTAGCTCCACCAATCCCTAATTAAACAGTGACTTACAAAAAAAAAAGTATTAATGCCCCCTCCTTCCCCTACGCCCTCAGTCTTTTTGTACCTGTCCTATCCTTATAGGACAGATTTAGTCATTTCTGCAATGACCCTAGGGGCAGCAAGCATTGTATGTTATTACCAATCTTTCTGCAATGACCCTAGGGGTAGCAAGCATTGTATGCCATTACCCTACTGTTTGCAATGACCCTAGGGGCAGCAAGCATTGTATGTTATTACCCTAATGTTTGCAATGACCCTAGGGGTAGCAAGCATTGTATGCCATTACCCTACTGTCTGCAATGACCCTAGGGGCAGCAAGCATTGTATGTTATTACCAATATTTCTGCAATGACCCTAGGGGTAGCAAGCATTATATGCCATTACCAATCTTTCTGCAATTACCCTAGGGGTAGCAAGCATTGTATGCCATTACCAATCTTTCTGCAATGACCCTAGGGGTAGCGAGCATTGTATGCCATTACCCTACTGTCTGCAATGACCCTAGGGGCAGCAAGCATTGTATGTTATTACCAATATTTCTGCAATGACCCTAGGGGTAGCAAGCATTATATGCCATTACTAATCTTTCTGCAATGACCCTAGGGGTAGCAAGCATTGTATGCCATTACCCTACCGTCTGCAATGACCCTAGGGGTAGCAAGCATTGTATGCCATTACCAATCTTTCTGCAATGACCCTAGGGGTAGCAAGCACTGTATGCCATTACCAATCTTTCTGCAATGACCCGAGGGGTAGCAAGCACTGTATGCCATTACCAATCTTTCTGCAATGACCCGAGGGGTAGCAAGCATTGTATGCCATTACCAATCTTTCTGCAATGACCCGAGGGGTAGCAAGCATTGTATGCCATTACCAATCTTTCTGCAATGACCCTAGGGGTAGCAAGCATTGTATGCCATTACCCTACTGTCTGCAATGACCCAAGAGCTAGCAGGTTAGGGCAGGTACATATAACCCCCTCCTAATCAAGATTTCTCTCTCTTTGGTATAATTAGAGGTTTTTGTGATAAGTAGAGTTATGTCATACACATGGTTTATCCTACTTCATGCTTTATGGACAGCAAGCCTGTCCTTATTGTTGCTTTGAAATAGGCAGCAGAGCAGGCAAAGTGCCCCTTGGACTATAGGAACCAAACTTTTAACCAATTGTAGCTGACAGGACAGCAGCGAGTTTAAAATGGCAGAATCACAGCAATTTAACAATATAAAGGTCTGGATAATTCAAATCAATAAGTCTGTAAGTCTGCACTTTTTCCTCTTGCAAATGACTTTATCAGCTGACAACTATCAGCTAATAAAAGCAATTCTGTGTATAGGAATATGCACAGACGTGACATTAGCCAGGTTTGCTATTGTCACTCCAATGATGCTGCTGGAGGTGGAGTGACACCTCTGGCAGCAGGGTTGGTTAAACTCTGTACAGACTATACAGACTCCAGGCACCATGACCACTTCAAATCACTGAAGTGGTCATGGTCCTTGGAGTAACCCTTTAAGGTGGGTAGATCAGAACCAAAGCAAATGTGCAGATATTTTTTTAAAACACTTTTTTGTAAATACACTATTGGTCTTGAATATATAGAAGACCCTTCATGATGCTTAATCTCACATTAGACATTGTACATCTGCTCAATTCAGTCCTTAATGGCATCCTTCGGAGCACCACATCTTGTTTTAATGAACACTGAGACTTTTCCCTTTCACTTTAAATACTACTGAATTTCTAGTAAAAAAAAACCAACAACAATATATATCACAAAGGGTGTGTACAGATATAGTGCCATAATTACATTCTTCAAATGTCATAAGATCTTGCAACTAAAGTCTTTACTCACCCATGTTATTTTAATGCAATGCAGATCCTTTCAAGTCAAAGAGACTTAAGGAACATTAAAAAGCTTATTTTGCATCACATGCCGAGCTCAGGGTTACTGACCCAGTTATAGTACTAGTCCTTCTTCTACTTGAGTACTAAGGAATGAAGCGTATGAAGCATATAAAAAGAATGGAAAAAAATAAACTTTAAAAAAAAATTTATTACAGTTTTATAAACATAGGAAAAACAGACATGGGTGGGCTTTTAGCGTCTTGTGTCTTTTGTCATTATTCTCAGACATTTTTTAATGCATAGTTTTCATAACTGATGTTTGTTTTAAAAAATAAAATAAAAATACACCACGAGCTGCTATGGTGAATTGCATAGAGATTCCAAGCCAGTAATACCTCAAGTTGCAATATATATATATCTATATCTCTATAGAGTAGTAGCTGAGAGAGATTAACAATTCTTAGAGAAGGAATATACTGTACAATATCTCAAACAAGATCTCTGTTTACAGACAAGGAAAATGAAGGTTACATTTAGCAGAAGCCAGGAATAGTGCTTCTCTGAGGATTTACAATTGGTAGCCCCTCATTCCATGCCAGGTCTTCTCTAAAAATGAATGTGTAATGCGACAACAAAAAAGTGCAACATTATCAAACAATCTGCAATGTTTCATCATTAGAGTTTGGCTTTGTGTGTGTATTTTTGTGCCAAAACAAGTCTCAGAATTGAAGGCAACTCAAAGGTAGGTGTTAACATTTGATACAATACATTGTGTGAGATTCACTAAATGTCATCCATGCATAATTTGCCACTTTATTCTGTTACATCTTGGATAACTGCTTTGCTTTATGTAAGATAAAATATCTAAGTAACATAATCCTGGGTTAACCCAACCCCAGCACTCTCAGCCAATCACAGCAGTCCAGGACAGATATGTTTTACAAGGTTGACTGCTTTAATGCTTTATCAATGTGTTCAAAATGGAGAGCAGTCTATAGGTGACGAGAAGAGTTCCAATTTATATCAATTGTTTCCTAAATGGTTTGGCATTAAATCAGGGGATGGTGCACTCTAGGCAACACAACTTCTACAGTAAGCCATAGTGTTTAAGTTGTCTAGAACAGTGGCAGAATTAATGTAGAGAGGGCCCTGGGGCAAGAGCTTTTTTGCCTCCTCTCTCCCCCACCATTGCAAAGGTGGCCAAAACATAGATCGCTGTCTGTTTTACATCACCCACAATGCTTTGCTAGCTGGGGATTTACCATTTGCGCATCTTTGCAGTCTTGTACTGACCTCAACCCCACTAAACACCTTCAGGATGAACTGGAACGAAGATTGCAAAGCAAGGCCTTCTCGTCCAACATCAGTGCCGGAACTCACAAATGCTCTACTGGATGAATGGGTAAAAATTCCACAGAAACACTCCACAATCTTGTGGAAAGCCTTTCCAGAAGAGTGTAAACTGTTGTAGCTGCAAAGGGAGAACCAACTACGTGTTAATGTCTATGTCAGGGCTTCCCAAACTTTTATGGGCCAAGACCCAATTTTGAAAACTGTAATGTTTTGAGACCCATTTGCTTTTAATGCATATTTTAAAAATGAACACCATGGCAATGCGCTTTAGAGGCATACAATTGGCACATCATGGCAACTTTAGGTGCGTAAAATTGGCACAACATGGCAATCAGTTTTAGATGCATAAACTTGTCTTAAACAAACTTTTAGATGCATAAACTTGGCATAAATAAGATTTAGACTCCGGCCCCCCAGATGTTGCTGAACTACAACTCCCATGATTCTTTGAATTACATAGATAGCCAGAGAATCATGGGAGTTGTAGTTCAGCAACATCTGAGGGGCCGGAGTTTGAGGACCCCTGGGTTAAAGTGTGGGAAGGGAGGCAGGGAGAGAAGGGGTTAAAGTGTGGGGATGGGGGCAGAGTGAGAAGGGGTTAAAGTGTGGGGGGGCAGGGAGGGAAGGGCTTACAATGTAGGCAGCAGGGCAGGGAGAGGAGGGGTTACATTGTGGGGGCCGTGTCCTACGTTTATTAAATTTCCTGTGGGTTCAGTGTCTCCCTGGTGGTCCGGTGGGTTAATTCTGCGGTCTGCAGCTCCGCTGGGTGCAGAGCTGCAGACCATGTAATAAAAGTCTTGCGAGCACCCAGAGTGTTGCCATGGTAACGCTCTTGGTGCTCGCGAGACTTCTATCACACAGTCTGCAGCTCTGCCCCCAGCGGAGCTGCAAACCAGAGGTGCTGGGCAGACTGATTGGCGGGAGCCCAACAGCATACAGGGCAAGCCCCCGGGCCCGAGGTAACGGGCCAAGGGCCCGACTAATCAGTCTGACTACCTGTCTCTTAGGTCCCATGCTGCCCTTGAGGAGTGGGTTAGCAAGACCCACTGGGAATCGTCCTGCGACCCACACTTTGGGAAACTCTGGTCTATGTATTTAGAATACATGTCATAAAGGTCCCTGTTGATGTAATGGTCAGGTGTCCCAATACTTTTGTCCATATAGTGTCAGGACTTTGCCCTTCCGAACTATCAATTTGCAGAGACACCCACACCCACCGGAGGGACATTTAAAAGGTAGAGAGGAATAGAATGGTGATATCTGATTGAGGAAGCCTTTTGCAAAACATGCTTTGGATGAAGAAGGCTTATGTGCTTTATTTGTTTTTAACAGTTTATCTTGATATTGTGAATAGTTAACAAAGAGTTTCTACAGAATTCTTTTGCTGCAACTACAAGTTTCTAAGGTGTTACAAGGTGATTGTTGTCACCCGCATCAGACACCTGAGCTGTTTATACCAGGAGCCAAGTTCTTTAACATGTGAGTTGAGTAGTTTACATCACATTTGACAATTGGACACCTGCTTAAAGCAATATTGCACTATTAAAATATTTTTTCCTTTTTGGGTCTCAAGTTATTACAGCACTCCCTCTGTAAATATGAAATTAACTTTAACAGCACTCTCCTTTGGTTTGCTATGTGATCACCTCTTATTTGTTATACTAAAACACGTTTGTGAGTGTGGCGTGTTAGGAGAAAACCCACACGAGTGTTGTAGCTGCTTATCATATATTGTGGATCATCACATCAAGTGCCTGTTTCACGTTTTTATCTTTTAGATCATATTCAGTGGCGGTGCGCTAACATCTTCTGAGCGGCTAACTCAAACTAATTTGGTACTCCACTGCTTATATGGCTGTCCAATTAGCCTCAATTATAGGGGAAACGATCTTACAAGACACAGCCTATGAATGGAATTCAGATATGACACATCAGCACCCAAGACCCACTGATGCACGTGGGGAAATTAAATGGAGTTACTGTAGTTCAAATTGCTGAAAAACATAATGCTGGCCATGATAGAAAGAGGTCAGAACACACAGTACATCACAGATTGCTGTGTATGGGGTTGAGCAGCCACAGACTTGTCAGAGTGCCCATGATGACCCCTGTCCACCACCTAATGAGGATTTGAGCGTCAGAACTGGACTATGGAGCAATCAAAGATCGTTGTCTGGTCTAAAGAATCAGGTCTTATTTGTAGATCAGGTGGATGGCCAGGTGTGTTCATCATTCATCACACACTACACAAATACTGCATTCATTATATACACATACTACACAAATACTCATTGCACAAACACACACACACTACATTCATTATATAGACACACTACACAAACACTCATGACACAAACACTACACAACACACACTCTGAATTCACTATACACACATACTACACAAACACACACACACTGCATTCATTATATACACACTACACAAACACACACTGCATTCACTATATACAAATTACCCAAACACACACACTCTGCATCCACTACACATACACTGCATCCACTACACAAACACACTGCATTCACTAATCAAACACTCTCACTGCATCCACTACACACACATATATTCTTGAAAACATAAAAAATTCTGACTGGCATGTATATTTTGTGCATTTACCTTAATAAAAAAAAAAGAATTGCAAAATAAATTAAAAAAACATGTTCAGTTAACAGTAGATTTGTGTAGAAATATTTTTTCAAAATGGTAAATGTACAGAGTATCGGCAAATTATCGGCTATCGGCCTTCAAGTTCACAGATTATCGGTATCGGTATTGGCTCTAAAAAATCAATATCGGTCGATCCCTAGTCTTGGTGCCAGAAAACACAAGACGTTCAGAGGCCTTGTGGAGTTCAGACACGTTCAGAGGCCATGCTTCGATGCATCAGAATAGTTTTGGCAGTATTGTGGGGACATACATGATATTAGGCAGGTGGCTTTAATGTTGTAGCTGGTCAATGTAAGCCTATCTTTAACATATCTATGCTCGAGTTTCTGTTAATATGGTGTATATTTATTGCATATACAGAGTTTGTTTTTTTCTTGGCTGTGGTATTTTTTTCATGTTATGACAAACTCTGTGCCATGTGCAGTATTATGGTGTGTGCTTGTGTCTGGTGACATGACACAAAGGGCTGATCTCATAGTCAACCCACACCCTGACAAACTCTGACTCATGACTCTGGAAGTAGGTACCTGATTAGACATTTGCTAACTTTTCTATATTCTCTTACAGAAAAGCAAAAAGAAAATATACTATGATTAGCATATATTTGTGTAAAATTTGAAATTTAGACAGAATTCTATGGGATTTTGATTTTATATGTTTCCCCTGTGTTGCAGTTACATATTTTAGTGCATTTCATTGTTGACTGTAAGTTTACATTTTATGCACTATTGTGACTTATTCACAATAAGTTAAATAAAGCATTCTTGAAGGGTATTCCCAGTTTAACTTAAAAATAATCAATCAAGTTCATTTTAAAACTGTGTCTAAACATGTTACTTTTCAGGAGTCCAGTATCAGAGTCTGAGAACCTGTCTTCTGGCTGCACTGCTCACTGGTACTTGGGATCAGGTACAGAGTGGTAAGACCTGTAGGCAAAGAACTAAACCTGTGAGCTGCAAGTGTCTTTGTAAAGACAGTATTTGGAGGCAGCACAGGCAGAAGGATCAATTCCTTCCTGGAAAAAAAGAGATTTTGCTTGTTAATTCTGTTAACCATGTCAGCAACTTCTTGGCTCAATATTACCACTGCAGATTAATTATATTGCAAGCTGAAATGTAATGAGTCTATCGGCATTCTGCTGCTTTAATCAACAAGAAATAGCTGACTTGGTTAACAGAAGCAACACTCATTACCGATTAAAACAGAAGGAAATCAAAATCAGATCAGTCCTCAGAGTCACAGCCCCAGTTCTGCAGTTTGAAGCTTCACAACCTTTCAAGTAGCCACAGCATGAATGTTTCAGATGTCAGGTGTAGAGTTACTGAGCACGTTAACCCCTTAAGGACCACGGACATATCAGGTACGTCTGACAAAAAACGGCCCTTAAAGGGAAACTCCAGTGCCAGGAAAACAATCCGTTTTCCTGGCACTGCAGGTCCCCTCTCCCTCCCACCCCCCAATCCCCGGTTGCTGAAGGGGTGAAAACCCCTTCAGTAACTTACCTGAAACAGCAACGATGTCCCTCGTCGCTGCTTCTCCATCTGCGCCGCTCCTCCTACTGACTGCGTTGGTCGGTGGGCGAGGCTGATCCCGCCCACCGGCCGGGGAGATCTACTGCGCATGCGCATTAGCACTCCCCATAGGAAAGCATTGAATATGCATTTCAATGCTTTCCTATGGGGAAATGAGCGACGCTGGAGGTATATAATCCAGGAAGTGCCCTCTAGTGGCTGTCTACTAGACAGCCACTAGAGGTGGAGTTAACCCTGCAAGGTAATTATTACAGTTTATAAAAAACTGCAATAATTAAACTTGCAGGGTTAAGAGTAGTGGGCAGAAGTGGTCTGGGTGCCTGGAGTGTCCCTTTAAGGCCCGTGGACGTACCTCATACGTCTGCGGCTAATTGGAGCACTGGAAGGGAGCTGAGCAGGGAGATCACTGCTCCATCGCCACCCACACACCAGCCGTCCAGCAGCCCCACTGGACCCCAAGGACCACATGCTCAGCCCAGCAGCCCCACTGGACCACAGCGACATAGACTCCATGCCAGCACTCCCAAAGGTAGGAGGGCTGGGTGGAGTAAAACATTTTAAAAAATTAAAAAATTGTATGTGTGTCTGTTAGGGAGTTTGTATGTTTGTGTGTCTGTCAAAATAGTATATGTGTGTTTGTCAGTGAGTATGTGTATGTGTGTCTGTAAAAGAGTATGTGTGTTTGTCAGTGAGAGTGTATGTGTGTCCACGATGTTGATACACTATGTCAAAGGGTTCCACAGGAAAAATTCATTTGGAACCCATGTCTTAGGTTGTTTTCTTTTAAAAAATATATACATGTAAAGGGTTATTCAGGAATTCCTGACAGATATCAGTGTTACAATTAAACTTGCGTTCCTTTTGGAAAAAAATGGTTTGGAAATAGCAAAGTGCTACTTGTACTTATAGCCCTATAACTTTCCAAAAAAAGCTAAGAACATGTTAACATTGGGTATTTCTAAACTCATGAGAAAATTTTGAAACTATTTAGCATGGGTGTTTTTTTGCGGTTGTAGATGCGTAACAGATTTTGGAGGTCAAAGTCTGAAAAAGTGTGTTTTTTTAAAAAATATTCATTATATTTTACAAAATGTTTTATAGTAAATTATATGATGTGATGAAAATAATGGTATCTTTAGAAAGACCATTTAATGGCGAGAAAAACGGTATACAATATGTGTGGGTACAATAAATGAGTAAGAGGGAAATTACAGCTAAACACAAACACAAAAACAGCCCTGGTCCCAAACAGTAAAAAATTGGAAAGCAGCCTGATCACTAACAGGTTAAAACACTTTTCTGTAGTATACCGCATTACGAAAAGAAAGTAGCTCGATCCTCATTTTCCTAAAGAGCACCGCAAGTATGGAACAACCAGCCAGACACAATTAAATCTTCCTTCACACCAAAATACTTTAAGAGATCCCTCTGTAACGAGTGCACCTGTATATTTCTTTCCTGTTCTGTGTTAAATGTATTTGAATATCACTTTGTATTTTTAATATTATACTGTGTATTTTAATATTATTTTGTATTTTTAATATTATAAATATTCATGATATATTTGAGTAAATTTCCTTTCTTAATCAGCCCTCAGGCAGTTACTGGGGGAAAGAAAAAGATAATACTATACACTTACATTTGGCAGGGCCAGGTGCTGCTGCTGTGCTCTCCCTATGCTAATTCCAAGATGGCTTCTTGCTTCCCTCTCCTGTGGGCACTATAACCCCACCACCTGGTGTTATCAGCCAATGATAGCCCATGGATAGAGAGGCCAATAGTATGCCTTCACTCATTGGCAGTTGGCTCTGCTGCCCAAATGGCAATTCAATGGAAATTCCTTTGTAAAGGTCACTAGGCATGTGCAAAACCTGCCAAAACAGGGCAGATTTCAAACCAGACCCATTTTTTTTTGACATGCTTAGATGCTCTCAGGTAAGCATTGTTAGCTTAAAAATATTCAATCCATTTTTGGAATGATGTCTGAGCTGCAAGTGTAAAGCCAGCATTTGGAGGCAGCAAAGGCAGAGGGATTGATTCCGGCATGGAAAAAAAATTGAGCGTAGAGGGATCAACTCCTTTCTGGGTGAATAGAGTAGGCAGAGGGATCGATTCCTGCCTGGAAAATGGATAGGGTCCCTATCTGCCTGGGAGAAGGTGAGGGGCAAAGCGATTAACTACTGACTATAAAAGATCCCTGGTGCTGGAGGAGAATGGATGGACAACAAAGTTGAACAGATCTGGATCTCAAGTAGGTGACCAGCCACCCCTGTTCCCATTATATGCAATCTTGCCCCTCTAAATGTAGGGAAGGCCTTTAGAAAGGCTTTTCGCACCTTGAAATGCCAGTTGTCAAGCATCTTTCTAGGGGTGAAGATGGAACAATTTTTGGCATTGCGTTGTTTGCGATTCAGGTCATTTTTCTTTAGTAGTGGCATAATTTTATAAAATACTTTTTTATTTTGCCTTTTTGGGGTTTAACCCCTTAACGACAAATGACATGTCATGATTCCCTTTTATTCCAGAAGTTTGGTCCTTAAGGGGTTAAAAAAAGATGTTAGTAGGATTCTGAAGGGGAGTGTTTTTTTTTTTTTTTCTTACAAAAGATTTTTTGGGCCCTTCACACTATTATTAGAATTAGGTGAGGGCTTATTTAATTCTGGTTGCCTATGGGCTTTGTGACCCATAGACTCCTGGAGGGAGGTGGGAGTGGCAAGTTAACAGGTGCTTTTCAATGTTTTATTCCATAGTGTAATTTCTAGAAACATTTGTTTCTCTTTAAAGGGTTAATCCAAACAAAAGCTGTTTTACTGAAAACCTGTTTTGGTTAGAAAAACCCATGCTGGCATGGTCCTTGCTAGTTTATCAAAGAACTTGGATGGAATTCATCAATTGGGTTTTTCTTAATGGGTGCCGCATGAAAGTGAGAAAGGTAACAATTTGCGATCACATCATGTTTTGCAACTTTTTACCACCTCCCATAGATCCACAGGTTTCTGGTGTGTGTCCCTGAACACTACATTGAGTGGGTGGATATCCACCTTCAACTTCTTGTAATGGATTTAGACAGTACCTCAGGGACACTGAAAACAGGTGTTACAAGTTATGGATGGTCTAATTTAGCAAGAGGGTTTTATATTGGGGCCTCAACATTCCCTAGATCTCAATCCAATTACAATGCTTTCCTATGGGGTTTTGGGTATAGCCTGAGAAGAGGATGTTGAGCGTTAGGCGACCAAAGGGTGGAGTTAACCCCCAAAAATAATTATTGCAGTTTATTACAGCGCTATGGAATTTGTTGGCGCTATATAAATAATATTAATAAAGAAATATATGCACCCAGACCGCTTCGCCTCGCCTATAGTGTCCCTTTAAAACAGCCTTGACAGGCACTAAAAAATACAATAATTTCTCCGCAAATGCCCATATATTACCCGGAATACTCCGGGATGTTTCGCTCTCTCTCAGGAGTTTGGAGGGAGACATGAAGCACAGTTCATTGTATAATTATGGCTCCCCCTCCCTCCCTGGACTCATACACTTTAATACCCAGTCAATCTGTATAGTAATGTAAATGGTCGCTCTCAGGCTCAGTCAGCACATAAACTCGTCAGAGCGGTGAAGTAACGCGCTATGTAACAACGCTCCCTTCACTTCCGCTCTCCGCAGCTTCCTGCCGGACCGCCAGCATCGCGCACACAGCACGCCGGGTCACACGGGCGGAGGCTCTCCGCTGTCTGTCGGTCTCAGCCATGCTCTCCCGGCTCCTCAAAGAGCACCAAGCCAAGCAGAATGAACGGAAGGAGCTGCAAGGTGAGCCGCGCTTTCCCGCCCACTCTGCGGCCTAGCTGCCAGACACACCACACTGACTGGGAGGGAGGGCAGCACGGGTCTCCATGACAACAGTCCCCCTTCTATCGCAAGAACGCCCTCTGATTGGTACTTTCTGCTGCCAATCACTCCTCTTACCGGAAGTGGTTACTAACAGCCATTGTCATAGTATAATAATAAGTTTTATAGTGAACGAAAAAAATGTTTATTAAAAACTCAGGAAAAGCAGCTCTTTAAAAAAAATAAGAATAATTTTTTTTTTGCATTAGATCATGTGTTAATACTTGTCTATGTGTGAGAGCTGCAGGGATGTTATGTGCAGTTAGAATGATTTCCTGAAATCTGCTTAGATTGACTTATTATTTATTACTGGTATTTATAAAGTGCCCATAGAGTCCGCAGCGCTGTACAATATACATTGCCCCGCTACAGTCTGTAATGAATGCTGCCGCCAGACTGATTTTCCTCTCTTGTCACTCCTCTCACACCTCCCCCCTCTGTCAGTCCGTACATTGGCTTCCTGTATCCTATAGGAGTCAATTCAAAGTGCTAACCCACACCTATAAAGCACTGAACAATTCTAGCTCCTCTTATATCTCTTCACAGATCCATAGGTATGCCCCTCCTCGGTCTCTCCGCTCTGCCCGTGACCTTCTCCTGTCCCGTATGGCCAACTCATGCTTGCAGGACTTCTCGCAGGCGGCTCTCTTCCTATGGAATAGCCTGCCCACCGCCATCAGACTCAATCATTTAAGAAGGGCCTTAAAACCCATCTCTTCAGGAAAGCTTATGGCCTCCCAGAGTAATCTCTACCTTACATACCTGTCTCTGGCTCTCTCCTATAGGGCAGTGCTTTATTCTCTCCTCCAGCTCTGCTTCACTCCCACCCTATTTGATTGATATTTCCTGGCCCAACGTGTCTTATACCCCACCTCCTATAGACTGTAAGCTTGTTTGAGCAGGGTCCTCTTCAACCTATTGTTCCTGTATGTTTTCTTGTAATTGTCCTATTTATAGTTACACCCCCCCTCTCATAATACGGTAAAGCGCTACGGAATCTGTTGGCGCTATATAAATGATGATGATAATATTAATAATGGCCGGTGGGCAGGTTATGTGAATTGCCTCTCTGGTGCTGCCCAAGGAGACCCACTGAGAATTGGGCAAGTACACCCAAAGAAAAGGCAGGTCAACATGGCACGCCTTGAGCAGGTCCAGATATGTGCTTCCCTATGCTTTCTGGGGATAGTACCATGGTCTAACCAAAAGCGGGAAACCTGGGAATATTGGACAGGAACCTAAAATAGGGACTATCCCACTGCAATTGGAACTGTTGGCAGGTCTGTTAGACTTAGGGTGCCTTATGTACTATATTTAAGGTGCTTTTAAGTTTAAAACTTTGTTTAACCCCTTAAGGACCAAACTTCTGGAATAAAAGGGAATCATGACATGTCACACATGTCATGTGTCCTTAAGGGGTTAAAGACATGAAACAGCTTCCTTGAATATGTCTAGATGTACAAATATTTGAAGGAGTGTGAATCATTCTAGATAAGTGGTTTTTTTTTTTTTTTTTTTTAAAGGATCTAATTATATACATGACGTGAACTTGGTGAACAATTTTAATATAATATATTAAAATGAATTCTGTAAAATGTTTGTCAAAAGAGCATTGGAAACTATTCTTAGGGGAGATTTATCAAACCAGCAGTTGCTATTCTGAGGCAAAGTGCTAAATAAGAGCAATAACCATGGGAACCGTTAGAATGTCTCAGCATTTAGTAGTTTGTTCTCAAAATGGCATCTGTTTTCCATGTCAATTTTCTCTTAAGTCATGGGTTAAACAACAATACTCTAGATATGTGCTATAACAGGTCCCGCAATATAATCGGCTCTAATTTATTTTCAAAACCTACAATTTTTAAACTACAAAGGTTGACTTGGCATGCTGAGTGCAGTTGAAGAATAGCTTGAGTCCAGTGTCATTGAGAAATCCATGACTAGTTCTTTTTATTTCACTTTCCTTCCCTGTATGCAACTAATTTGCGGTGTCAAAAAATTGTAAAACAAGACAAATTTACCACTATAAGGGTCTGTTAACTAAACAATGAATTGAGAAAAAATGCAAATTTGAAGGGAAAAAAAATTTCCCCTCCACTATGCTACTCTGGCCTACATTTTGCAAATTGACTTTCAGCTGACCAAACCCTGCTGTTAATTAGTACACAAACTCCTAATTTGTGGTTTAATATAGGGTTTCTCATTGAATGTCACCTTTTCTTACAGAGAAGAGGAGGAAAGAAGCCACAGCTGCCGCAACCACTTTGACAGAAGCATTGGTAGACCATCTAAATGTGGGGTGAGTGTATGATGTGAAGAACAGACAGTACCACCACTAAACTGGATCTTTGTTAAAACTGTATATTTTCTCCTTTGTTGGAAATAATTTACATAATGCAGAGATATATAAAATCTACTTTACCATGATGTTCTTGGAGGGGCAAGCTGTGAGTGCCAAGGAGAGCCTGGGCTTTTGTCAAACTACTCCGAAACAGGCCTCCCATCCTCTTGCATCACAGCTACTGCATTGAGCTAAGGTGACTATAGCGCTTAGGTGGATTGTTTAAAGCATACAAAGCTATCAGTGGCATTATTGTATATAACGTTATAGCAGATATGCAGAACATATAAAACAGTATTCATTTACGTTTTGTGTTTCACAATTTTTCAACCGCATTAAAAACACCAGAATAAAAAATAATAGTTCATCTATAGTTATCTATAAAGAACAAAGAAAAAATAATATATAATGCCTGCTTCCCATAATTCCTCAGATTTTGTAACTTTTAGTAGTACCATACAGCTAAAAGTGTGTCCTGTGGAAAAATAGCCCTGCACATTGTCAATCTCACACATACAACAGATAAAAGTGTTTGGGTGAGAATGCAGCTTGATTGATATCTGCTTGGATGAGACAATGATGCTATGCGATTTTTACATCTCTATTTATGTACATGACGAACACTGAATAAATAGCAGATGTTTCCCAAATAACAGTACTGAGCCATGTTTCCATATTTAGTTATCGAGGGCATGCATTTCTAGATTTTACTGTTCGGTGCACTAATTGCAAATGTTGATGTTTGTAAAAACATGAAAACCCCTAAAAAGGTTAATTTAGCATCGATATGCTCAGTATCTCTGAACTGCTTTCAACCTAGTCTTCAATAAACCTGTATTTTCTAGTCACTAAACATTGAACTGCTTCGAAGCTGTAAGGAAGTCACTGTTCAGTGAATTACTTATCACACTGCCAAGTTAAGTCCTTGATGAGGTCTGTGGTGCCAAGAAACCCGCCCAGTTTAATAAAAGGGTTCTCTGAGGCAACACTTCTTAAAGGGACACTGAAGATGGGGATGAATCACATTAGGCTATAAAAAATGAAAGTTAAACAAATATCTTTTGAAATTCCTGCATTTTCAACAAATACTGTATCTTCTGCCGTGATCACCATGCTTGCCAGGAAAATTCTCATTGTAATTCAACACTTAGTAATAGCTTAATTTGTGAAAATATGTGAATAAAGCCAGCTTGCAAGATAATAGAAAGTGTTGCTTCCTTTGTTGTACTGAATTGCTACATTGATGTTTTTTTTGTTTTTGTTTTTTATTAATTAAGCTAGTCAAGCCTGCAACGCGTAATTTCTCATGGAAAGCAGTGATAGTAATGCTTATACTAGAAGTAAGAAACATAAATTCCCCCTATAAAGTCATTGAGCTTGGATCCAATCATGGTGTGCACCAATAACCAATTAATAGGAATATCTAGGTTACAAAATGCATATTTTAATGCTTTTGAACAATAATATTAAAAATGCATTGATTTGGTTTCAAACAGGTTAACAAGGAATGAGTCCCTGTCCACCAACAGTTTGCCCCTTCTAGAGGTTTGGCTTGGGCAGAGATGACACATTTCCTTTTAGCCATACCAATTCATGCCAGAAACAGGTACTACCATAGGCTGAAAGCAGTCAGCTGACACTCTCAGCCAGTCACAGTTTACCATTGCTGCTCAGTCTAATGCTTCCTTATTAGCTCAAGCTGCATGGATGGGATGAGCTGCTGGTAAAATACTACAAGCAGTTTAACGCTGAATGGAAGGATGCCACCAGTGGACTCTCGATAATATTACCACTTCAATTATATGGAGTAGCTACAGTGGCTATAGTGTCTTCTAAAATGCTTTTAAGGGAATCTATAGTATTTGGAATACATAGCTGTAACACTATAGTGTCGTCCATTTCCCGGGAAGTGCTGCAAGATAATTAGGCCATCTCTATAGGAAATCATTTCCTCAGTGCTTTCCTATGGGGATTTCACTGACACTGGATGATTATGTCCAGCGTTTTTTTTTAAGGGACTCAAAGTCTGCTAGAATCCATGAAGTTTTAGTTTCTCTTAAACTAAGGGGGGCATGGACAGAGCACACAGACCACTTCAATTATATGAAGTGGTCTAGGTCAGGGGTGGGCAATCTGCGGCCCTCCAGATGTTTTGGACGTCATCTTCCTTGATGCTTTGCTAGCATTATGGCCCTAAGAGCATTATGGGAGATGTAGTCCAAAACATCTGGAAGGCCGCAGATTGCCCACCCCTGGTCTAGGTGACTATAGTGTTGCTTTAAATGTAGATGTAGGTGACCCATCACAAGGTGTAATTAAACACATTACTATTGACTTGTGTCCAGACTGGGAGAACATCATATTTAATGGAGGGAGCGCTCCACTTTGCAATTTGTAACAAGCAGCCAAATTTGTAGCATCTCATAATATACACCACTCCCTCTTTCATTAATATGAACACAAATAACTCCGCACAGGGCTGATTAGATTGCTTTATGTCTGTGTAAATGATTCATTGCATGAAGATTCATCATGCGCATGTTACTTTCCATGCGACTTTTAATCTTTTCAAATGTGGAGTAATAAATTTGGTCATATTTTGTATGAGAACAAAGCTAATTTTCTAAAAATACTCCACTAGTGTTTTCATTTTGGTACAACCCATGCCATGCATCATGTTGTACATTGTGTTGTCATGTAGTACTTTTGCGTTGAAACCAGAATATATTTTATTACGTTTATTTTAAAATCCATTGTTCTTCACGTTTTTGACTATGCTACTCCCATCTGGTTTCCAAGTAGTCATTTTTTTTCTTGAATTTTAAAAATTACTATTTTCGATAGTGTAAAGCTTCTCTGCCACACCAAACGTACATTTCTCCAATCGTTTCCTTTTCTCCTCCTCTCTCTGAATCTGTTCTTCTTCTTTTCCTCTCTATTTCTTTTATTTTTTTTCTTCTTGTAAAATAAATATGACAAAGGTGGAACTACTTAAGACAATTTAAACTTTTTATGTCAAGATTTGTCAAATTCCATTTTCCCAGAATACTCACCTGCCAGTGATGTCCCTCGTCTATAGTCACCATTCTCTGTCCTTTCCATGCATGCCCAATACTGTTGCTTTCGCCTCTGGGTTCCTGAGCATTAGCGGCCATTGGTTTTTTCCGTAGCACCAGCGTAAGGACAAATGAAGGCAGAGACTACACGTCACTGCTAGAATACTGAATATGGATAGAGATCTAGCTCCGGAATAAATTTTTTAACAAAGGTACAATCTGGCAAAATTAAAGAAAAAAAAATTCTTAGAAGTGAGAGAGTTCGGGGTGACAATGGGGGAAAAAAAAATAGCCCATGACAGAGCTGCTTTAAGGAATATTTGATATTTGCTTACTATCTGCCTACTATTTTTTTGGAACTTTGTATACATACTCATTGGGGATGTGACAAGTTTTTATCTTACTGTCCCTACAACTTATTATACTCAACTGTGCAATGAGCCCAGTGATTGGTGTAATACCCTCCCATGTTACTTACTGTAATAACAATAAAGTAAAATAATATGGTCATGGAAAATGCTTGCACAACGTGGTAAGAGCTTCTATTTAGTAAATGTTTGTAAACTATACATGCTATCTTACGCTACTTTGAGCATTTCTATCAGAAATGGATTTAGTGGATTTGAAGAAAAGAAGCCTTTTGGAAAGAGAAATCAGAAAGTAAATCAACCCATGAAGTACAATAGCAGAAAACAATTGTTGGTTTATTTTTATTTTTTTAGCACATACAGGTTACAGATCAAAGTACATTTTTACATGTTGGGGGATTCATTTAAACTCCTAAATTAGCTAGTAAACTTGCTTTTGAGAAAACACTGCTGTTGAATCTTTCATGCGAGAGAATATAGAACTGGCTTTTTTTATGGAGGTTTCTGTGACGTGTATAGCATTAGTGGGATCTTCCTATTTGTAAACAATTTGTTATAATTTGCCATGAATGTGAAAATACTCTGGCAGAATTATCTATTAGATAAGTGTATCTTCAATCTGAGCATTGGACAGTAAGTTCAGTTTACTGTAATACCTACATGAAGGTGACTTTGCCTCCTAGTGTTGTTGATGAGTGTTTGCTTTACTTTAAGCTGAGTTTGTCAGCTGGTGACTGTTCTTAGAAGTTTGCTTCTAATAACGTTAGGAATACACATTGTTTTTGAAGAGGAAAACATGTCCCTTAATCTGCGTGATGTCACGATTTCCTCTTGGAGCTTCTATTGAGGACTAGCAGATCATGTTTATGTGGGTGACTCCTTACAGAAAGGAAGTAAGAGAGGAACATATGATATTGTCTTACTCATAAACTGAGATCACTTGGATATAATAACACAAAACCATATCTGGAAAGTGTACACTGGCATCTTTCATGGATAATACCAGTTTATTTTGAAATTAGAAATCTATTAGACCGTATTTTAATGAGGGGTTGCAATTCCAGACTTTCTTTTAACAAGTGCTCACCACTTAACATGGGATTTGCCTGGTAGCAAAAATATCAGTGGCTTCACTCCCAAACCCCCAACCTGTGCCCCGCTTTATATCGAACCCTAATGTTCTATCAATCACATTGTAATATAAACATCTTTCAATTAATTCAGAATATTAAATATTAATAAACTATAAGCCTGTTTTTAATATTAATGCCACACCGTGCTGTAAATATCAGCATAAAACCTGCACCTGCTGCAATAAAACCCTGCTTCCACAGTAATATCCCCGCACAAAGCTGTATAATTATCTCCAAATATGCTGCGTTAAAGGGTCTATTACAAATTATATTACTGGAGTTACTATTCCCTTCTCAGTATTAAAGGGGACTCAAGGCTACCAATGTGAGGGTGCCATAATCGGACTAGTATATTTACCCCTGCCTTTTAAAATAAATTTAAAACACACGACTCTCATCCAAGTTATTGTAGTCATAAATTACATGTCCTGTGTCTATATGCTGTCATCCATATTGGCATAACAAGTTGTATATTTTATTTTCTAAAACATCCTGACGCCTTTTGTGATAATGTTTGATTATTTACTGAGAGCCAACCAATTGCTGCACTCTCTGTTTACGCTTATAGTGATGATATTGGCCTAATTTTGTCCGTGGGTACGTCCATTAACTTGCACAGCTGATCACTATACTAAGTGTTATGACCTGGGCTTGGAGTCCCTTTATCCACCAGCATTCACATTAAAGCAGATCTTGGATCGTTACAGCAATGAAAGAGATAACCAGCTTCTATCTTGGTACAAACAGCAACAACCTTTATTTTCACTTCACAACAGGATGTAAAAACTACATTTCCCTTCCCCTGTCTGCAAGCCCACCTTGACAACAAAATAATTCCTCGATATGCCAGGCAGGTATCTCAGCATGGGGGCTCTGCATTATGTTCCATGTGACACATTAAAGTCTCTTTTTGCCACATTTCTCCCACCCAAAAAAAGACCTGCTGCTAGATTGGGACCCTTCTGCTCAGGTCACAGGCTGCAGGAGGACAGGGCTACCCCTCTATTCTCCTAGACAGTCAATCAGCATTGCCATGTGACTGGCCTTTGCAATAATGGATGGTAAAATTGTACTGCTGAAGTGCCAAGCTCCACCTCGGCAGTCGCCCATTGTCACCTGCCACTCGGTTTAGCCAGCAGAGGGGATTGTGGTCTGTTACCACCGTGAACTCCCTTCCATGGAGATAGGTTTGTAGCTTCTTGAGAGCCAAGACTACAGCAAGGCACTCTTTTTCTCTTTGGCCGCATAACTGACTTCTCGATCCAGCAGCTTCCTAATCATCCACGAACCATAACCACTGTAGTTTATTGTAGTGGTGATGGTGCAGTGAGTGGAGTGGATGGTGCTATCGGAAGTCTGTTAGATTGTTTGAGAAAAGCTACCGTATATACTCGAGTATAAGATGAGTTTTTCGGCACATTTTTTGTGCTGAAAAACCCCCACTCGTCTTATACTTGAGTCAATGTCTGTATTATGGCCATAATAAAGACCACGACCGCCAGGCTCATTACAAGCCCAGCGGTCCTGTTGGGGGCTGGCAGCAAGCTGTTACTTACCTTTACAACAGCTCCCTTCTCCTCCGTTCCGGTCAGCTCCAGTGTAAGTCTCGCGAGAGCCGAGGCATCAGAGCGTTGCTCCACGCGGCACGCAGACCGCAAGACTTACAGTGGAGCTGACAGGAGCTGCTGTAAAGGTAAGTTACAGCTCGCTGCCAGCCCCCCTCCTACACAGGACATCCGCTGGACCACCAGGGAATAATATAGCCCCCCCTCCCTGGCCAGCTAACAAGCAGGGAGGGGGGACGAAAAAAATAACATAAAAATTTTAATAATATATAAAAAAAAAAAAGTAATAATATGAAAATAAATTTAATATTAAAATAATAATAAAAAAAATAATAAAAATGCCCACCCCCCACCAAGGTTACACACACTGCATTCATACACACACACACTGCATTATATACACACTACATTCATATACACACACACTGCATTCATTATATATATACACACACTGTAAATAAATATTCAATTAATATAATTTTTTGGTGATCTCATTTTATTCAGAAATTTATCAGTAGCTGCTGCATTTCCCACCCTAGTCTTATACTCAAATCAATAAGTTTTCCCAGTTTTGGGGGGTAAAATTAGGGACCTCGACTAATATTCGGGTCGACTTATACTCGAGTGTATATATATACAGTAGTTCTCTGCAAAGCAACCAAATCCTCTGCAGCCAATTATATAACGTGGAAGATTCGTTTTCACATTGCCTGTCCAATTCTGCCCTACCTTAGAAGGCAGTAAGTGCTTGCAAGCACTGGGAGTGGGAGCAGTTTTGGTCAAACTCCTTAAAGTAGTTTTACACAATACCAAGGGACATCGCCAAAAAGCTCAACTCACCACAGCCCTGACATTGAAATATACTGATTAAAGTGCATAGAATGTTCATTTGAAAAAGGACACTCTAAGCACCAAAACAACTTAAGTTTAATGAAGTTTTTGGTGTTTGGATCATATGTATAGATCATGCCAATGCGGTGTTACAACTTTTTTCCAATTTCTGCCATTTAAGAGCTAAATCACTTTGTTTATACAGCCTTAGCCACACCTCCCCTAGCGGAGAGTCACACAGCCTCCAAACACATGTCCTGAAATAGTGTCTGAAAGTTTCAGCTTCCATTACTGCATAGTGTGCTTGATGTATAATTTATTATCTCCTGCTCTGTTAATAGTCTAACAAGGCACGCAGCAGCCTCCTGTGTGTGATTAAAGTTCAATTAACAGAGCAGGAGATAATGACTTCTAAAGTAAGCACACTGTGCTGTAAAATCTGATTGAGAGTTAAACCATGTTTATCATGGAAGCTGTGTGAGTCACAGTCATGGGAGGTGTACCTAAAGCTTTTTAAAGACATAAACAGGATTTAACTCCTAAGTGACAGAGAATTGAGCAGTGAGACTGACCTATACATTAAACTTGCTAAAATTGTTTTGATGCTTAGTGTTCCTTTAGGATAATATTATGGTTATAATCTAACTTTTTTTTAAGTAATTTTGTTTTGTAGGTGAAATTTACTAAGTCTGTTCTCTGGTGCCAAGTATGAAGACCCACCATTTAGCCTAAGAGAACAGAACTATGTATGTTGATTGAGGGATTTTATTTTAGAAGTCACAACATCGTGTAAAGATTAATTAGGGGGTAGGACTGCTAACCTATATCCTGTCAATTAGCCCTTCCCCATTTTCCTCTGCTTTTACCTATAATGTGGGGTAAACTGTGATTGTGCTGGCCTGGGGATTCACAAGCTCCCAATCCAATAATATGTGGACTCAGGTATACTCATATTGCCCAGTCATATACCGTATTTTTCCGTGTATAAGACGACTCCATGTATAAGACGACCCCTATTTTTTTAGCTCAAAATTAAGAAATCAATTTTTAAGCATCAAATAGAACAACTTTGATATTTTAGAGGTGACTTCTGAGGAGAACAACACACTTGTGATTCTGATGCCTCCCCTGTGCTATGGTACTCTGTGACGTTAATGGCTCTGTAGTGCATGCTGAGAGACTACAGCTCCCACAATACAGCAGGGAGTGTGAGGGCAAAAATAGTATTCCCTCTGCTCCCTGATCCCCATTTCCCCCCCCATGAATATAAATCAGAAAGCAAGACCTACCTGAGGTGGAGCAAACCTTAATATGGCTGCTCCTTTTATGGTGTGGCATGTCTCTGGAGCTCCATTGATGGTGAGTGCTGATGTCTGCTGCAGCTCCCACGCATATAGCGGCTTCTTCCTCCTTGCCAGAGCATTCAGAAGTGGATCAGCGGGAGGGAGGCCAGGTATGTGTGTGGGCCGGGGCACACTGAAATGCGGCAGGCGCCATCTTAACTTAGGTTAACTTAACCCACGCACATGTGTTTTTTCTTTTTTCTTTTTTTTTTTTTTTAAACCCCTGCAGTGACATTCCGTGTATAAGACGACCCCCAATTTTAGGCTAAAAAATTTAGAAAAAGATTTTTATACATGGAAAAATATGGTAATTTTATTTTTTTTAAATGCTCCTCCAACCAATATAGGACCAGTTGTTGCCCAGCCATTTCATCCCAAGCGGATAGCTGGCAACTGCTTAAAACTCACTACCCCAATTCCAGAATATACAAGACCCCCCCATCCCCCCAACTCATAATCATTTTTTTGTTGTTGTTTTTTTTCATTAACTTGTACTTACATTTATTCATTTTAGTGTGGCACAAGCGTATGTGAACCAAAGAAAGTTGGACCACGAGGTGAAGACCCTACAAATACAGGCTGCTCAATTTGCAAAACAAACAACACAGTGGATAAGCCTGGTGGAGAACTTTAATCAGGCTCTTAAAGTAAGATCCATAACAAATTAAATAAAGTTGGCTTACATGGGCAGACAACAGAATCAGGGTTCCATCTGCTGGACGTTAACTGTCGCTACCATTTTATTGTCTAGTAGACTGGTTTAAATAAAGATGCATGGATGAAATGATTTTATACAAAATGAAAGTGACAATAAAAAAATATTACATTTTTCAAATTGTGTTTCACATAGCAGAACGTAGTAGTTTTCTCTGTATATGTTCTTAAAGTAGTGATATTAAGATGTATAACATTAGTTGGAAATGATTGATCCCTGCAAAAAAGTGGCAAATGTTACTCAGCCAATTCTGGCCCTCTAATTGGCACTGCTCTACATATCTCATAATCCCCTGCCCAGTGCTGTTTATGGCATAGTTAGGTCAGCAGTCATAAATGGTTTTAAACCTTAGTGACTTCATGCAGCTTCCATCATATTTTTTAACTAAACAAAGACACTCCCTTAGCAAATCTGAAATGACTTGTATGGTGGAGGACACTTTTTCAGCTCCTGGCAGCTTCCCCTGGCAGGAGTCATTGTCAATATTGTCCTCTCGCACATGCACGTCAGTGCAAAATGGGGTTTACTGAATATCCTGTGCAATAGTCATCCATTGCATATTAAACAAGATGATGCCTTGTCCCATTTGCCATTGTGGTTATGTGCCATCTATGAAATGACAGGGTAGCGGTGAAATCTTTGGCAGGGGGTTAATTTGTAAAGCACACAATTATATATAGTTTACAGTTTTTAACGAGCCACTTTTTTTTTAGCTTAGCAAAATCTTAAAATGACATTGTAGTCTAATGGAGATAAGAACTGAGACATGTCATTTTACCTATAAATCCTCCCTACAGTGCTGGATCCATTAAACAGTGCAAATTTGGAAACCCTTGCCCACCAGACTGGATTCTTCTGAGGCCATCAGAAATACTCTGATACGCATTATCTGCTTCTCAAACAATGTTTGCCCAGGGATCTGTACCCAGACAGCCTTGCTGCCAGTGTGATGCTCATCGCCATTCTTTGTTGTTGACATACCTCAACCTACCATGATTTCGTGCCTCCCAATGTTGGCAGTTTTTGCTAAACTGACTTAATTAATGTGTATTTATATGTAAAACATACCATGTATTCATATAGAAAGATTATCAATTGCATTTTTTTACACACTGCTCTTCCACCAAAATTATTTTTGAATAGAATGACCCTGCTAGCTGGGCTCCGTTAAAAGGAAGGAATAATATCTTAACTAAGCCTATACTACAGGAAAATAGTATTAGTCTTTTATAAAATTAGCTTCATCTCTGCGTTACGTTTTTGTTTTTATTTTCTCTTGCTTTAAAATTAGTTATTTATTGAGGAGAATAAAAAATATTTTAAAACATTTAAATTCAGTGGGGCACATAAATGATAAAGGAAAGTAATTCAGCCTTGCAATACGTGAGCTTTCTGTGGCAGTACAAGCTGCATTTCTTGCCAATGGGTGATTTAACTCATATATTCAAAGATAGAAGCTACTCTCAGAGGCATAGATAAGGGGGGCAGTGGGGAACTATTGTCACCAGGATGAAGGGCCACCATAGTGCTATCTAGGCCACTCCCCTTTTCCCCCAGTGCCCTGGTGGCAGCGCCTGCTGCCGAGGTGACATTTTAGTAAAGATCTAGCAGTCATTGGAATTTCCAAGATATAACTTAATCCACTTGTTTTTTTTTTTTGTTTTTTTTCAGGAGATTGGTGATGTGGAGAATTGGGCAAGAAGCATTGAGAAGGACATGCGCATTATAGCAACTGCTCTTGAATATGTATATAAAGGACAACTACAACCGTCTGCCTCCTAGGTTGCAAATCTTCTTCTTTTTTTTTTTTTCTTCTTTTTTTTTTGAATAAAAAAGGGGGGGAGGGTGCAATCAGTGAACTATCCGCATCTTTGGTGCCTGTTATGATTGCACCACTACAGTATTAACTGTTGGTAGCTAGAATGTATGTCTTTGCATTTTGATAGTAGTATTATCTACTTTTAGTCTTGGTTCACAGTCCAACTTGTAATGACATTATTGTGCCCCCTACCTCTTTTCCATAACTGGTGTCTTACCTGGATGCACAAAAAACTGAGGTCATGTCTTGTCCACAGTATGGAAAATGTAACATAGCTTGTGTAAAGAATATTAAATGCACTAAATGCTTGTGTCAATGTGTCTGAATTATTATTATTTTTTTTGGGTGAATTTATTTTTATGGTAATTCAAATTTCTAGTACAAAATATGATAAACAGGTCGGCGTAAATAAATTATTAGTACACGCCTAGATAACATTCAACATAGTGAGAAAAATAATTGCCTTCACAGGTCAACGGGTATGGTAGAAGATAATTAAATATAAAAAGGGGGTGGGGAGACCGAAGTCACCTTCATTTCATTTATTGAAGTTGGTTAAATCTTATCACAATAGTTGGAACACACAGAAGGGGATTGCATGATTTTATGAGATCGGTATACAAGAATAGTGCTAAAAAGGGTGTAAGTCATTGTGAATCATCAGTCAGGGCATTCAAACCTCTGCCTGGTCAATTACCGCTGTTATGCTGGGGAAGTGGGATAAGTAAGTAATACATTTACCAAGAAGGTACCTCTCCTAGCAGTAAAGCTTGAAACTCTGCAGATTGGTTGGTCAGTAGCCATTGATACCATATGAGGAAGTAGGTCCTATCTGATGTGTTGAAAATGAATTACTCTATAGTGTAGAGGTAATCCACACAATGGAACCACATCTTAAGGGGTGATGGAGTGGTTTGCTTTCAAAATGAAGATAATCCCCTTGGCGATCTTTAACATACTGATTGTCAAAGACTTTTTGTATATACAGGTCTTAACAGTAGGGTACTAGCCTAGTAGTGAGTTGGAAAGGTTGAAAATTATTTGAAAATTGCACTAAGATTGTATGAATTCTCTTTCCAGAATGGTCGTACTATGGAGCAATAACACTAGATGTGGAGGATAGAGCCCTCCTCATCAAGACACTTCTATAAGCATTTGCCTGCTGAGTCATCAATGGCATGTACCAGTTGGGGTATCTTGTACCAAAGGGATAAGTGTTTATAAGCTGACTCTTGGAATTTACTGGATATGGAGCAATGTAAGGTTAAATTGCATATTTTCTGCCATTGTATAAGAATGAAATTAACCCGCAAGGCTTCTTCCCACTGTCCGAAAAAATTGCATCTGGTTCTGAAGAGTTGCATACAAGTATGCTACTCTGTGTTCCCACAGTTCAGGTGTAGAGTATAGGGTCAGGTCCGTCCAGCGTTGAGGATATTGAGGTATGGAGTTAGTGTAATGAGTTTTTTTTGTTGTTTGTTTGTTTTTTTTTTTACACTGAAACTGCTTCATAAAAGTGATCTGGGAAGCACCCTAATAGAGTTCTTGATAATGTCTTAATTCTGCCATTCTCAATTAAATGCTGGACTGAGATTGATTATGCCCAAAAAGGTCAGAATATACGGCTGCCTTAAGTTTAGGGGGAACGCCGGATTATGTACTAGAGGTACGAAAGGGGATGGTATAGATGTAAGTTCTAGTTTTGGAGCCAAGCGTGCCAGACTTGAAGTGTAGCTGAATTAGAGGATGTGGATTTGCAATTTTAACACCTGAGGGCCTGTCCATGCACACGAATACCACTACAGATCTACCTATCTTCATGGCTTCCACTTGGCCAGGGAATCATTTGTGTCAAATTTTTCATAATATTGTGGATAGTGATGTCCCGAACGGTTCGCGAATGGTTCGCCACGGACTCATATTGAGTAAACTTTGACCCTGTACCTCACAGTCAGCAGACACATTCCAGCCAACCAGCAGCAGACCCTCCCTCCCAGACCATCCCAACTCCTGGACAGCATCCATTTTGAAGCTGCATTCTTAGTGAGCTGTCCAGGAGATGGGAGGGTCGGCTGAGTCCGCGGCGAACCGTTCAGGACATCACTAATTGTGGAGTGTCATCTCCAGCTTTGTCACATAGCATATGTCACATCAATAGATTATCAGCATATGCTGCAACTCTGTGTATAGTCGTCCCTACCGTAAGGCCTGTGATGTTTGGGTTTTGCCAGACTACATTAAGGAAGGAGAAAGCGTACCATTTTGAATCGGAAAGGGTTCAGTATAAGCCCCATTTACACATATCCTAGCTGAGGGCGATGTGGCTTGTATAAAAGCCAAAAAAATGTGGTCCAAAGCCAATATTATTTAGAGTAGAAAACAGGAAGTCCCAACTTACCCTGTCAGAGGCCTTCTCTGTGTCAGTAGACAACAATAGGAGGGCCTTTGAAGCCAATTAAGAATGATAAATAAGAGATAAGATACGGATGGAGTTAGATTTCGCTTCTCTTTTTGGAAGAATCCCCAACTGGTCCCACTGTACCAGGTCGGGTAAGTAAGCCTGTAAATGTCCAGAAAGAATTTTGGTAAACAGTTTTAAATTAAACACGGCAACATGCAGAGATATCCTTAATGAAAACCTGGTCTTGAATGCTCAGTACATCAGACTGGACCAATGGTTCACCTTCCAACAGGAAAATGACCCTAAACACATAGCCAAGACAATGCAAGAATTTAGGGACAACTATGTGAATGTACTTGAGTGGTCCAGTCAGAGCCTGGACTTGAACTTAATCAAATATCTCTGAAAAATTCTTGAAAATGGCTGTCCACTTACAGTCCCCATTAAACCTGACAGAGTTTAAAGGTACACTGTAGGCACCGAGACCACTTCAACTCATTGCAATAGTGCCTGTTCGTCGTGGAACAGAGGAGGGGGTGGAGCATCAACAAGTTGAGTAAATAAATGGTTTTTAATCCTTTATTTAACACAAGGGGGGGAGAGGCAGTGGGAGCTATAGTGCCAGGAATACAGCTTTGTAGTATTTTTTTAAGAGGATCTCCAGAGGTGAATGGCACTACCCAGATCCAGTTGTGCAAAGCTTGTTGCATTATACCCAAAAAGACAGACTAACCATTGCCAAAGGTTTTTCAACTAAGTACTGAGTTAAGGGTCTGATTCCTTATGACAATGTGATTTTTCCATTTAATGTATTTGCAATGGTGTCAAAAAGTTGCTGTTTGCTTTTCCATTATGGGATATTGAGTGTATATTCATGTGGAAAAATATAAATGAATCAACTGTTGCATAAGGCTGCAACATAAAACGTGAAAAAATGAAGAGGTCTGAATACTTTCTGAATGCACTGTATACACACATATTTGACTTGGAGCAGCTAGTTAATATTACCTTCATATTCTTTATGAACACCACCTGCTGTTTTCTGTCAACATGATTTTTAATATCTGTTTTAGACATCAACTTTTGTTGTCATTTCACAGCAGTTACTCAGCAACAAGGAAGTCAGCTGCTAAGGCCAGTATTGTGTGGAAAATGATTTAAGCCATCTGTTTGTAATGACATGTCACGACAGCAGCTTGTCCTAGTATCTATCTTGGTTTATGTAAGTTATTGCTTTTTTGTTTGTTTTGCTCATGTTTTAAAGCAGACCTGCACAACTTGGCAGTAGGTAAGGCCCAAAATTAAAATAGGTTAAACTTCCTCGGGCAGCAGACAGGGTTTTTAGCCCCTCACTTTCTAAGTAAAGTTATAAAATTACATATAAAAATACAGATACACACACAGACACACTGACAGACATACAAATACACACACTGACACATACAGATACACACAGACACACACACTGAAAGACATACATACACTTTTATAGCCACCCTCCAGTTTCCTACCTTTTGGGTGCTGGTGTCAAGTCTGCAGGCTGAGGCTGTTGGGAGATAAGGGCTGGCTCTTGCAGTCTGCACCCCCTTCTCTTCTGCTCTGTCCTCCTGTCCCATACCATAGTTGCCCTCTAGGCATATGCATTACATTACCCAGATACGCTCTGTGTATGAGATAGTGTGAAGCACAGGCTCAGTATGTGTGTCTATTATATGCTCTATGTCTGAGTTACTGTGAGGACACAATATCAGTATATGTGCCCACTATATGCTGTATGTATGGGTTACTGTGAAGTCCCTTAGTATATGTCCTCTATATGCTCTATGTATAAGGTGGTGTGAAGACACCACTTCAGTATGTGTCCTCTAGTCAGTGTCAAAAATCAGCTACAGTGTATGCGCATGATATAAATACACTGCCTCAATATACGAGTCCAATATAATCCTTGTGTATGAGCTGTGTGTGTGAAGACAACTAAAGTATACACGTCCAACACAAGCCCTGTGTATATACTGCTGTTAGTCACAGCTTCAGGATTGGTGAGTGATATAATCTCTGTGTATGAAGTAATAAAAAAAAAAAAAAACCTCAGGATCAATTTATCTGACTTGTATAATCTTAGTATATGCGCTGGTGTGGAGACATATATATGTCACTATTATATATAGAAAATGTAGTCTCTGTATGATGTACTGGGCAACTATAGGCCAGTAAGCCTTACTTCAGTATTGGAAAAAGTGATGGAAACCATGCTAAAGGATAGGATTGATGAACATCTAAAAACACATGGATTTCAAGATCAGAGACAACATGGGTTTACTTCAGGGAGATCATGCCAAACTAATCTTATTGATTTTTTTGATTGGGTAACTAAAATTATAGATCAGGGTGGTGCAGTAGACATTGCTTACCTAGATTTCAGTAAGGCTTTTGACACTGTTGCACATAGAAGGCTTATCAATAAACTGCAATCTTTAAGTTTGGATTCCAATATTGTTGAATGGGTAAGGCAGTGGCTGAGTGACAGGCAACAGAGGGTTGTAGTTAATGGAATATATTCGAAGCTTGGACTTGTCACCAGTGGGGTACCTCAGGGATCTGTACTTGGACCCATTCTCTTTAATATTTTTATTAGTGATATTGCAGAAGGTCTTGATGGTAAGGTATGTCTTTTTGCTGATGATACTAAGATATGTACAGGGTTGATGTTCCAGGAGGGATAAGCCAAATGACAAATGATTTAGGTAAACTAGAAAAATGGTCAGAATTGTGGCAACTGACATTTAATGTGGATAAGTGCAAGATAATGCATCTTGGACGTAAAAACCCAAGGGCAGAGTACAGAATATTTGATAGAGTCCTAACCTCAACATATGAGGAAAGGGATTTAGGGGTGATTATTTCTGATGACTTAAA